TTTAAAGCAGTAAAGTTTAAATTTGCCAGTGCTGATCTTCTATCCAAAAGCATTACAGAATTCCAAAAGACACTTCTAAATGATTTGCACTTAGGAAAGAGATAACCCTACAAAAAGCAATATATGATCAGCAAAAAATAAGTGAGAAATAGGAGGCCCATTAGGTGTTAGCCTAATTAGCTTTCATTCATTTTCATCAATGCTATTAGGTATACAATGACTTAATCGTTTAACACAAAGGACAAATAGATAAGAGAAAGAAGGTCCCCCTTGACGAATGTCACGAGAAGGAGTGAATTCTTTAGATGGTTCACCATTTCATAAAATTCTCATACAAGTAGTGGAGATAGCAACCTGTATAAATTTATTGCAATGACTATTTATTCCAATGGAGTTGAGAGTATTGTTAATGAAATTTCAATATAGTCTGTTAAAAGCCTTTTTAAGGTCTATCTCAAGGGCCATAAGTTCCTCATTAAGTAGATAATTTCTTGAGCAATAATAACATTGTCACTACTCTTTTGCCCTTGTATGAAACTACTTTGATTATCATTGATTAAATGATTTGTGCAAACACACAATCGAGTGGAGAGGATTTTAATGATAATTTTGTAGCTAACATTGTAGAGTGAAATAGGGCAAAAGTCTTTCATATATGTAGGGTGATTAATTTTAGGAATCAAGGTGATGAAAGTGTCATTAATTTCCTTTATAGAATATGGTTCCTTAAAGACTCTTTTGACCAGGTTGAAAATGCTATCCTTCATATTGTCCCAATAAGAGTGGATGAAGCTAGCATTAATGCCATCTAGACCCAAATCTTTGAAAGCCCTAATATCAAATGCAGCATTTTTAATTTTTTCTTTAGTTACTTCCCTATGCAAGGATTGAAGTTGAATGGAAGATAGAGATGGAAAGCATCTATCAGTAGAAAGTTTAGGCTTGTCATCGACATATTCCTTAAAGAGATCTTTAAAGAAAGAAACAGCCATACTCTTTTATTTTGATCCTCAATGTAGTTATCATTCTCATATTTAAGAGATAGAATTTGGTTTCTTTTCTTTCTAATGATGGATGAAGTATGAAAGAATTTCATGATTTGATCTCCTTAGTTAAGCCATTTACGTCTAAACTTTTGAAAATAAATTAGCTCTTCTTGCAACAGAACTTTGTTATAATCTTTTCAAAGAATTTTTTTTCACTTTTTTTAAAAATTAATTATCTTTGTAGTTTCTATTTTTATCAATTCCTTTCAATCTCCTTAAAATTCTTTTCTTTTTGGAAAAGATAATTTCAATTTTTTTCTTGTTCCAAGCAGTTGCAGAGTTGGCAAATTTAGTAGCTCCTTCCTTCCAATTATTATTAATCCAAGAATCTTTGACTAAAGGATAGAAGAATTCCTCAACCATCTAAGCACTATGGCAATGAAAAGGTTTTGGCTTTTGATCTTAAGAGGTCTTCTTAAACAATTAGATTCTAATCGGATGATGATCAAAACCATATCTAAGAAGGTGAAAGGAATTGGTTGGGTGAAAGTTATGTCTCCATTCCATATTGCAAAAGGCCCAATCAATCCTCTCTTTTATATTATCTTTTTCTTAAGTACATCTATCACCATGAAAATTAAGCTCAAAAAGGTTAGAAGAATTTATACATTATCTAAACTATTTTACAGATCTTTAGTTGAAACTCTCCCTACCACTCTTGTCATGGCAAGAAAGACAAGAATCGAAATCACCAATGATGAGCCAAGGAGCAAAATTATTATGAGCAATATAATTGATAGAATCTTAAAGCAGGTCAAGATGGAGAGAGTTAGGATCATCATAAATACAATAGAACATATAGGAGTCATTATTGGCTAAGATATTAATCCTGGGAAGTGACTTTAATTTTATGGGAAGACATATTTTGAGAAAAGCATCTTTTTTTGCTTTGATATGCTAGATAGAATATGATTTGAATCTAGCAAGCAGCACAAATCTACTCACTTAATGAGTGTTTGACATCATATGATAACAACAGTTCAATTTAATTAAATGACTGTCAAAGATTTTATTATATTATACTCAAAAATATTAAATATTAATTTTTTTAGGATACAACATAGGTGGGGAGTGTTTTGATCATATAAATTGTTTTGAATTTTTGAAAAGAAATACATTTTGATAATTTTTAAATATTGATAAAAATTTAATAGTTTTAACTAGGACACTGAATAAGTAAATTTAGGCTACTCATGGATTCAAATCTAAATATGATACATTTAATACTAATTTCATTGCTAAGTCTTAGGCTCATCTCTTCACTCGGTTCAAGTACTTATACTTTAAAAAGTTATTTTATGAGAAGTATAGCTCTTAGGAAGTTTATGTAAACCTTATTTGTTTGATTTTTCTCCCTCATCAACTAGGCTAGCTAAAACTAGAAGAGAGAGTTATTTAGTGCCAGTGAGTTAGCAATCAGTGGGACAGAGACAAACCCCCATTATAGTCAATCAAAAGCAATGGTTTAATTTTTAACTCAAACAAGCTCGACCAGATGGGGTTCTAGGTACTCCCTTAATTTTATTACTTTTGAGGGGGAAATTGCTATAGTAATGCTGATTACTTAAGCAAGTAAAACAGCAAAATAAGCAACCACAAAACTAGCTTCTTCCGACTTTAGCCAAATCTTTCAGAAGCCCCGAACACGTGATTTTCATATTTTAGATCGATTTCAGGAGACGTTTTATTGTAGTCGCTGTCCTCCTGCCTGTTCTTTTGCTTTCTTTGTAATTTGATTTCTATTTCTACGTAAGAATGAAGTCATGAAGTGACTCTTATTTTTCCTCTGGCCTTGGAACCGGTCTCTCTACGCAGTTTCTGCGTTATTTCTTCTTGTTTTTTTTCTTCTTTGGGAGCTAACAATATTGAAGGATGCAAAAGCAGATGACCAGGAAAATGTCCCCTCAAAAGTGTATATTGTCTGGGATGATAAAGTTTCACCCGTATTTTCAAAATAATTTTAAATAAAAATAATCGTTCAATAATTTGCTAAAATTCAATATAATTCACCCACTTCAAAAAATAAACTAGAGAATCCATTTGGGTTGGGTTACTATGCGTTTTAAAATATTCCCTTTGCAATATCTGCATGAAATGGAATATGAAAACAATTCGGATGTTCACTTGCAAAAAAAAAGAACAAGGAATGTTATCAATGGCTATGGTCTTCAGCTTGATTTCATTGCTATTATTAATGACAAAAAAGATACATTTCAATCTTTTCCCATTATTAACTGGTTAAAAAAAAAATCTTTTTCCATCATTACGGTAGCATATTATATTAGCATTGTCAATGAAGATTTTTTTGGTGCACTTGCTTTTATTTTTTTCTTTTTTGAAACTATTTTACTTCTCTTTTTAACCTCCTCGCGTCCCTTCCTTTTAGACCTTTGTTTGGAGGTTAAACTAGAATTATACTTACTTTTCTAGCTTATTTTAGTTGGCAATCCATACCTTCCTTCCTCTTTTTTTTTTTTAAACAATCAATTGCCCCCCATGTCTGTATCTAGCATTAGCATAAAGAAAAAGTGATAGCATTCCCATAGACTATGACCAAATAATTTTCTTTAATAAATAGAAGTCTGCTTTAACTTTAAACTTATAATCAAAGTCATCACTCGAGAATGGTCCACGTGACTTGCTTTCTTGTCTTCTACTTTTTCTCATGAATTATTGTATAATGCACTATGCACAGTGGCTGTTTTATTTCATTCTAGAATTTCAACGAAGGAACTGGCTTCTACAGTTAGCAGCTTTTTTTTTTTGGTACCCGAATTCAACACGAAGACTTGTAGAAATAATATGGGCACATCATACAGTTGAAAGATTTTTAGGTGAATGGAAAGTAAAAAGAAAAAGAGAATGGAATAGAAATAGGAATACAAAACGATATTAGGTAATCGGTGTTACAAATGAAGGGGGGGGAGCATTCTCCAAATAATATTTGATCGGATGAAATATAAGGGCAGTAAAAATAAATAAACAAAACCCAGCTAAACTATCCTTGACTAATTAAAGCACCTTCATTTCGGACTGTTCATTTGGGTACACTAGGAAGTTGGAAAGTCACAAATGTTCTGAAAAGCTGGAATGCTTTAATGCAGATAAATTGCCAAATGAGTAGTTCAGGGAATGCGAACCTGTTATACCAAACAGACTGCTCAAATCTCAGCCATTTTCTCTCTTTTCCTCATCTAACCACTAACCTTTGCTCCACACACACACACACACACACACACACACAAAAGGGAGGGCGGGGAGGCACCAATGGAACCATCGACATGCTATTCCTTCCATTTTTAAATATGAACAAAATTTTCATGGGTTCTTGTTTTTTCATAAGTAAAACAACAATTTTCAAAAAAAATATTTATAACATCTTTTAATTTCTCTTCATTAAATGATCGTATGATTTAATTAGAAGAAAATGAAAGATTATTCACAATAATATTTGAGTCTAAACTTTTCAATTTCACACACCATTATTAAGATTAATCGGCTTTCTTAAATTGTGCCAGTTAATTGAAATTTACTTATATTAAAAAATGAAAGGAGTACTCCTTATCATCTGGCTTGCGAAAGCATTTTATTGTTGATAAGGATTTGGCTCATAAGGTTGTGGATTCAAATTCTAATGCTAACATGAAGACCCTGTTGGTGGGGAACTTATACGTATCTCTCAAAATACTCTTTGGGCCTGAAAGCATATTCTGACCTTGGTGAACCTCTAAATTCAGCTTATCTAAACTTTCTTTTTATCAAAAAGAAAAAAACATTCCATTGTGTTTTGACATTAATTAATGGTTCATCATTTTATCTTTTCCCTTTTTAGTGCTCCTCGCAAGGCTCCGTCTATACTGACTATAACATTTCAGTTGCACAGAACCTTTCAGAAGAGGAACAAGACTGCTAGTTCAAAACATCAAAATAATGATCAAATATGACAAATCTTACTTCACAGAAGACGTGGCCATACTTTTCTTTCTATAGATAGTAATTGCTTCGCATCATCCTAATTATAGATCTATACAGAACACAAACTAGAGTACCATTTTGCATCTTTAAAGCCTTGGACATATTGAGGATACAAGCAAGAAGCATATTCCAAATATCATAGAACAAATTTGGGGTTGCATCCTTAATAGCAGTTAAACAAATGGATATTACGAAACACAAGAACCTAAGCTACCATAAAGTTTATTGTCTCATACAACTGTACCTTTAGGTCCGCTGTTGGAAATGATCAAGCCGCATAGATAAGGACCATTCTGAATACTTCCATAACTGGAAATCAGAGCGGAAATGCCATTCTCAACCTGACTAGGTTTGTTCATCATTCGGTTTCCCGAAGATCAGTGGAAATTCATCATCATGCTCCGAAAAACTTTCGTCCCTAGACAGACTCTTTAACGAATGATAAACCTGGAACATAGACAACCTATCCTTAGGATGAGAAACCACACAGTTACATGCAATCCTCAGGAACTGCAAAATCTCCTCATCATGTCCCTTTCCGCTTATGGCCTGGTCAATGCAATCTTTTATGCGACCTGAATTAGAAAGCATATTCACCCAATTCACTAAATTACCCTTAACTTCTTCCTCTCTAATGCTGACTTCAAGAGGCTTCTGCCCAGTAACCAGCTCCAAAAGCACAACCCCAAATCCATACACATCTCCTTTTGGTGAAGGCACCATGGTGCTTGGATATTCTGGAGCTATATAGCCAAGTTCTCCCACGTCTCCACTCACAAAACTACTCCCTTCAGCTTCAGATATCATAAGCCGGGCAAGTCCAGAGTCCATCAAACGAGCATCAAAATCTTCATCAACAAGAATCACATTGGAACAGATATTTTGGTGTATAATAGGAGGATGGCAGCCATGATGCAGCCAGGCAAGACCCCTAGCTGCCCCCAAGCCTATTCTGAATCTCATGGGCCAGTCCAATGCACTGCCGTTTTTGTGCAACAAGGAGTAGAGAGTTCCATTTGACATGTACTTGTAAACCAGAAGCTTTTCCTCTTCCACTACGCAGAATCCCAAAAGCGGTGCCAAATTCGGGTGCCTGAGTAGCCCTAGCCTATTCATCTCCGCACGAAACAGCTTCTCCAAGATTTTACACGTGTTGAGCCGTTTGACTGCAAGGGTTGACCCATCAGGAAGATCTGCTTTGTACGTAGTTCCTGTTCTCGTTGAAATAAGAATGTTTTCTGCATTGAAATTATTGGTAGCCGCCATCAAATCGCCTAGTTTAACCTTCACAAGAGGTTTTTGGAATAGAGTGACTTGCACAAGCTTGTAACCCCTCAATTTCACAGCCCAATTATCACTTGCTCCGTCTCCAAACCCCTTCTTACTCAATCTCAAATGGTACCACCACCAGAGCCCAAAGGCCAACAACAAAGAAGCAGCTGCACCAAACACCCCAGCAGCTATGATGATGGCAAGATTCTTCTTACTCAACCCTCCACACTTAGATCCAAGAGGATCCCCACAAAGCCCACTATTCCCCTCAAAGTCCTCCTTCTCAAACCGACTTAAAGACGAAGGAATCGCACCCTGAAGATGATTATTAGCAACAGTAAACTTGCTAAGCCTACTCAAGCTCCCAATTTCGACGGGGATGACACCTGAAAGCTGATTACCGGAAAGGCTTAACTCATTCAAATACGAGCAATTCCCGAGAGAAGGGGGAATAGGTCCAGAAAGACGATTTCCTGACAAGTCAATGCTCACTAAATACTTCATCCAAACACAAATCTCATAGGGGATGTTACCATAAAGGTCGTTGGACCCAAGATCCAGTCGTTGCAGATTACCACAGTACTTCAAGGACTCCGGCACGCGACCGGAGAGCTCCATACCATTGAGAACCAGATTGATGATGCGATTCTGCTGCTCGTTCCAGCACGTAACGCCGGTGAATCGGCAAATGAATCCGGGGGTGTTGTTGTTGAATTGCCACGCTGAAAGCGGACCACGGAACGAATCTTGGATGCCCTTGAGGCATTTCACGTCATCTTCAGCCTCCGACTCAGCAAAACCCCATAAGCCCATGGAGCTGCACAATAGCAGCAGAAGGCAATTCCTGAGATCTAGTGAAGCTTTGCCCATCATGAAAGGAAGCTTTGTGTGTTTGCAGTGGATTAGTGGTTAGAAATATCGTGGGAGCGGGTTCAGAAAAAGCAAGGTAGACCAAGATGCCATTGACTTTGAAGGCAGGTTTGGAAATTCAGGATGAGAAAATACCAGACAGGTGCAGCGATTATGAAGAGTGGAATGCGAGTCACCGTGGATTTTTCTTCTTCGCTTACAAGAGGGGTGCGAACAATGGGCTTCTTTGACTGATGCTGTTTGTTAGGGCATATGAGGTGCTCATCATTTTTTTTCCCCTAAGAAATGATAATAAATTCTTAAAAAAATTAATCAATTATAATTAAATATTTGATAAAATTTTTATAAAATAAATTATAAATATTAATTTAAATAATAATACATAAAAATTTAAATATAAATTTGTGATCGTTTAAATTGATATTTATAATTAATTTTTTAAAAAAATTTATCGGAGATTAAATTACCATTAAATTTTTTCTTTTGAAATTTAATTATTATTTTTATTTTTTATTGAAATAGGTTAGCGAACAGCTAGGGGAATAAATTATATTTTTTTTATAATTTTTGTAAATTTTATTTTTATAAATATAATATTAAAATGTTTAAAAATTAATTTAAAAGGAACAGCCATTTTGAAATGAAATAACAAAAAATCAGAATAACCCACGGAAATGTACTCAACAAGAGGATTTGACCCATGGTTCGTTTTGTAGGCCTACGAGAAAATGGCATCACAAGTAGTTTTATTAATGAAGAGTGCCATTTATGTTTTGTTAGGCAGAAAAAAACGAATGATTTGGCGCATACCTCACAAAGTGCTGATATAAGAATCCCAGTGATGGGCAATCAATAAATATTTTTATAAGTACATGTTCAGATCTTAACGAGCTCTCAAATGCAACTGACCTAAATATTTTTTTATAAAAAAGTAATAAAAAAATTAATCATTTAATTTTTATTATTTTAATATAGTTGTAATTTTATTTTTAAATTTTAATTCATTATAACTCAATTTTTATAATTTTAACTCAATTGTAATTTAATATTGAAACTTTGACTCTCGTAACTTAATCTATAGAATTTTAATCATTTAAAATATTGATCACATATTTAAAAAATAAAATTATAAAGATTAAAATTATTTTAAAAATTTAATCTTTATAAAGATTAAAAGGATTTAGTAACTTAAAATATTAGTTTTAAATTTTAACATAATTTTATTTTTTATAATATAGAAAACTAATATTTTAAATGGTTAAAATTATATAAAGACTGAATTATAAAAGTTAAAATTAAGGAATTAAGTTACAAACAAGTTAAAATTATAAAAATTGAACTAAAATTATAAGGATTAAATAATTAATTTTTTTCTAAAATAATTTAAAATAGTTGTAATAAGAATATATAAAACAATGCATACTAGGGCTATTTATTAGATTATACCAAATGACATGCCCAGTATATGTAAACGAGGAAGGTGAAGGAATTTGGCACCCACTAGCTCCCCAAACCCCTCGCCATCCCCAAACTTACAAGCCCTTAAGCCAAGTTCCTTGTCAGATACTATAAATTATTTATTTATTATGAGGCCTTATCTATAAATACTATTAACATTGTAAAGGAAAGCAAAGAGAACATCCAGCAAAAGGAGATCGATATGCAGATGGTGGCTATTCGCCAAATCCATCTCATGCACGCCACTTACAACTATAAAAGACAGTGGAAAGATGGCTCAGGCTACGCTTAGAACATGGGAACCCGGACAACACAAATGCACGTGAACGCAAATATCTTATATTAGTTCATTTGGGATATATGATTCACAATTCCATGGAAGTGACGCTCCATCTATAATATCTCATGCTATTAAACACAATTAATCAATAAAATTTAAAGTAATTAAAAGATTAACTCATTAAATAGATTATCAAATTTTAATTTAAAATTAAGGGATCCCAAGTTTTCTTAATCCACATGGGTTTAAATCAATTATAAACTACAATATCGGAGTAAAAATAAGTTATGAAAGTATGAAATACCTCGGAAGAGTGGAGAAAATCAAAATCATTTGATAGCAGAATCGGAAAACTTTCAACACATCTCAATTCTCCGTTTGATGTCCGAATGACATGATTTAAGTGTTTACAAAAAGCTCTTTTATGAACTAGCTAACAGCATGGGTTTCACTTTTAAAATAAGTTACATTAAGAAGTTAGACACCCAAAAATTATATTAAAAAGTTAGACACCCAAATACATTTTTAATCACTTTTTACAACTTTCACATAAAAAGGGTGTCCAAAATACACAACAAGTGTCAAAAGCTATTCATAACACCCAAACCATATCCATTAGACATAGAACTATCAATACAACACATCACATGTATTTAAATATCCGTATAACACAAAATCACTCCCCAATCTCTTTTTTATCAAAATAGAAAGGGGTAATTTGCTTTGCATTACATCAAAATCAATCAAAACATGCTCAACACATTAATTTTATACTTACATTAGTATTTTAGCCTTACTAACATATATATCATCATACCAGAAAACTCAAGGCCTAAAATCCAACTTAGACATTTGCAACAACAAAATAATACAAGTGCGATGGTATGCAAACTAGAATTGAAAATCATATTCTATTACACAAAATGAATGTAAACTAAAGGTGTAATGTTCACATTGATATTACCAGGACAATACTTTTACACGCCGTTGTGGTAATTAGAAATAATTAAATTTCAAGAAGGAGTTATCACAACCTAAGAGTGTAAAAGATAATTAATTAAAATAATGAGATCCCAAGAAAAACCCTTTTTAAAATAGTGTTTGAACTCAAACCATAGTTGAAAATTAATTAAGAGCAAATACGGAAGCATGAAAATCAAGCTACATCAAATTAGGCTAAAACAAGCCACTTTTTAAAAATTCTGGACCATCTACCGTGGCAAATGGCACAGAGGGATGAGTCTCTCGAAGGTCATTTACGCCGTGGCGCAACTACCATACGTCGCAACGCATACCTATTGTCATAACAGCTCTTTAAATTTTTAGAGTGCATCATTTCATCATTCGATGTTCAATTTGGGTTATTCAAGTATCCACACAAAGCTCTTCGAGCTTTCCAGCTAATGGCATCAGTCTCACACTCAAACAATCATCTATTTAAAAGATAGACACTCAAACACAAAATGATTTTTTTACATCAAAACACATACATAGGTGTCCAACTTACAATGCCAATTGCTATGAGCCCCAGAGACACTTTAACCACCTCAAACGGATCACACATAATATGACAATTCAATCATTACACACAATTAAGCAATCAGACCCAAAATGACCATTAAATCCTAATTCACAACAACATAAAGGGTGGATAAAATTTAACACACATATCAACTTGGTCATTTTGGCACATAACTCACTTCAAATGCATCACTTGTAATTGTAACTTAACCAAGCACACACACACACTTATCATAAATTCATATATAAGTGATATCCAAAATAATGTCATGTTTCTAAGTCGACATTATATATTAACAATATTCATTACAATACCCAAAAAAGATAAAGAAAGAGCTATACAACTATGCTCTTCACTCTTCAAACACCCTTCCCTCCCCTTGCCCCTACAGAAACTCTCACTTATAAAATATAACCATAGGATGAGATAAGCATCTCAATAACAAAATAATTCATTACTATTAATTAGCATACACACCATAAGAGAGTAAAATTATAAAACTCCAACATATACTTTTAACATATCACCACATATTATTTTCATCAGTATAAATCTTTTACCACTAGTATGATCATTCTACCGTCCAAACCTCCATATCACCCTGACTGAAACCATAGTCTTTTAGACAAAATACACATTCATAATGATTTGAGCTTACCTTCAGTGGTAGGATTACCCAGCTAAAGGTGTCCTATCCCACTTTTAAATTATGGTTTCCCCCTATTGCACATAAAGCGGGGTGTCATTACTCTAACACCGCATCATTAATGATAAGGAGCGTCACTCTCCAATGCCATATCTCGTATCTCGTATGGATATTAAGGAAAAAATTTCCAACACCGTGCCTCACTAGACATTAAGAAGATACATGCCATATTGACTTTCATTACTTCTTTCTACGAGTGAACTCCCACCCTCTAACATGATCATGCTCATACTTATCGTATATAACACATATACACTTCAAATTTCTCAATCAGGTTATATAAAAACTTTTATCATTTTCATCATTCACAAATAGTTTTTCATGCACAAAACTACATTTCACAATATGCAAGATTATCAAATCTCAAGTTTAAATCAACATATCTACTCATAAACAGTTAAACAATATAATCAATCAGTATAAATTATTTCGTTACCTCAATCCTTTATCACATAAAAGGGTTATTATAACATCCTAAATTTCTTCATTAGTAATTATCAGTGTTTTCAAGGGGTAATTTGGTTAATTTAGATAAATTGTTATTTAGTGGAGTTTATGAAGACTAATATGATTTTTGAATCCTTGAACAGCCTTAGAAGAGGGCTAGGTCAAGGTTTGAAGCAGGCCATGGCATGGAAGAAAGTTTAAACTTTCGTGGGGCTTTTTGTGCCATGCACCGTGGCCGGCGAGTCCATGGGCCGTGCTGCACATGCAAAATTTGCACTTATCAAATCATAAAAACAGACTGAAAATAGAAGAGAGAAAAAGGAAAAATGAGAGAGTGATAGAGGAGAGCTTTTGGTCTGCTAAGGCACGATCCTTAGGCTACTTTGAAGGCATTTAGAGCTTGATTCACCATCGAGTAAGTTGTACATTCCCTCTTCTTCCTCTTTTATATGAAAATTTAAATATTTGAGGTAATGGGGGCTTTAATTTTAGTTTCCTTAGGTTTAGACCGAACCCATTAGTTTATTTAAGATTTTGGAGAGTTAAATCAAGCTTCTAACTTTAATTTTATGAGTTTTGTGATGATTGAGAATTTTTGGTAAGAGTTTGGACGAACTCGGGAATTTTTTGTAAAGGTTTGGATAAACTCTAAATATAATTTGAGTATTAAAGACAATGTGGAACATTGCTTAGTGAATTTGGCGTGTTGAAATGTATAATAGGATGGTTAGAGTGTATAGAAAGGGTTGGCATTGTTTAGAAAAGGAATTTGAGTATTTTAATACTTAGAACTT